AAGTCACTATGTAAAATATAAAACGAGTTACACTTTCACTGGTTCTGTCTGCAAAGAAAAACGAACCGTCAACCCCGGTTTCTATGCTAGCCTGCCTAGCAAGACACACACGCCTCCCGCGCACCCGAGCATTGAGCATATCTGAGCCAACGAAAACATATCAAGCCACCGTGGGACTTCATTCTACCAAGCACTCGACAAATTGTTTTCAACTGCTCGACTCGGCCCCCCCAACATACATTTGTTAACAATGCTGGCTCTCCGCCTGCTCACGGTCGTCAGCGCCTCGCTCCTCCTCGTAGCCAAAGTTTATGGGGGCGATGAACAACAGCCTCCAGCACAAGAAACAACGAAAAAAACCACATATGCTGTCACACTTGGTAGGATTCCAGGTTTTGGGTGGTGTTTAATGCTTGAATTGCTGCATTGATTGCAACCCCCCCCCATGGCAGGCTAGTGTCGTCGACTAGGTCAGTGCTCGGTGTATATTTTAATGCCTTAGAAAACTGTTGATAAGAAAACCAGGGAGCTCGTTATGGCACTACTACTTTATCCCTGTATCCGCAGGAAAAGATGGCACATGTCTTTCCGAGATCAACAGTGCTCGTAAGAAGGCCGGTTTCAATGATTTCGTAATTCCTCAAGAGGATGCAAAACAGAAAAGATTGCCTGAGCAAGGAGAGGAAGTGCCCGACAGCGATGCCACATGGGTTTGGAAGCCCGTTTGCGATGTCTTGATACCAGTAAGTTAGCTACCTCTTTGGGCGTGATCTCCGTAGGGTGTACACGCGACGCTTCAACAAGTACTGCAGTTCTTCGCTGTCTTGGTGTTCTCAGCAAGAAGTAACAGGCAAAAGCACCGAGGAAGAAGCTGGAAAAAAATTCGTGAGCGGCACATACGCATTTCAGGTCGTCGTCGATGCTGTTAGTCCTAGTTGTACTGACGTAGTAGAAAAGTGGAAAAACGCATACAAAAACTTCAATGGATTGCCTCCATCGAATAAGAATAGCGAGTTGTATACAAGCCAGGACAATATATCTTTCGTGGCCATGTACAACCCTTCTGACGATGCTACCGCCGACTGCCGGGTCGTCACCTGTACTAGGAAGATCACCACCACTCCAACGCGGCTACTATTGGATTCGGCAGAGGAAGAAGAAGAGGATGAAACTAAGGCTGAAGAAACAAAGCAAGGCTCTGCTTTGATCTGCATGACGACGCCTGACGTTCTTCCGGCTAACAGTGAACACCCTCCTTTCACGTACGCCTCTTGATGTCAGCATCTCAGCCCTGTTCCTTATGCGGCCTCTACACAGCTGCAGCTCTTTGCTTTGTTGGTGTGCGTTGTGCAGAGAGGNCTTGCCGCAGCATTCTTTGGCGTTGCAGCAGCGTTGTGAGAGAGCAATACTAAGAAGAAGTGATTGAGGGTCAACGAAGGGTTCGGCAGTTATGTATAGTGAGCATGCATCGACAGGAGGGTTGGGTATGAGTGAATGTGGGTTTAACCTACATACATACACAATTGCAGCAATGCGTGCTGCAACGCTTCATATAACCTGGTGCTTACCCGCATCATCAGCCCCAGACTGCGCCCATCAAGCACGGGGTAGGGGGGGAGAGCAGCTGCTGCTGTCCGGAAGTTTAGCTATTCTAAGAGTTTTTGAATCTGTTGCGGCATAGGCTGAGCTAGAGAACTGAGTTTGCAGCATCAGCTGCGATGAAAGCCTGCGTTAGCTCTAGCTCGGTAACCTAAGCTCGAGTCATATGCACTGCTCGGCACGTGTTGTGTTGCTGGCTTTCTTATCTTTCCCTTTTCTCTGTCAATCAATACATGGAGGCTGCAGTATAAATATTTAGCCGTTGATCGTTGAGTTGATGCTCGGGCTACCGGCACCCAGACACGGCTTGATGGCAAAGGCTCTGTGCTCAGCATAGCGATCTGTTACGACAGTGTTTGCCTCAAGCTACGTTGCACATCGCCTTGCCCCACCAACCACAAAGTAATTACGTAAAAAAAAAAATAAAACAAATTAAATTTCTACTGCCATTGCTTGCGACGATGAACAAGATACTAAACCCCGTTGAGCTCCTGGCCTGCCCGGCAAGAGACAAGACAGAAACACGCACGCCGCCCGTGCACCCGTCTGAGCCAATAAAAACTAATCAAGCTGCCGTTACACTTCACTCTGCCGAGCATCCCTTCTTCATAAATAATTCAGATTTTTTTTGTGGTGGAAAGACGAAACAAATTTTTTTCAAGTGCGTAGCTGACCTAGGGCGACAATGCTGGCTCTCCGACTCTGCACTGTCGTCAGTGCCTTTCTCCTCTTCTTTTATAAAGTTGATGGGAGCGATGCGGACGAGCCTCAAACACCACCAGTAACAACAACGATAACATATGCTGTCAAACTGGGTATGCTGGCTGGCTGTGGGAGAATTTCAATGCTTGAAGTGCTGCCTTCGTTGTAAACACCTTACAGCAAGCCAGTACCGTCGACTTGACCAGTGGTCAGTGTAAATTTTACTGTTTCAGCACATGTTTACTAAGCAAATCAGGGAGCTTGTTATAGGACTGTTTTGTTCCTCTCTATGCAGGAGAAGATGGCACATGCCTCTCCGAGATAAACGCTGCTCGTAAGAAAGCCGGCTTCAATGATTTCGTAATACCTCAAGCGGAGGCGAAGGACAAAAGACTGCCTGACAAAGCAGAGCCAGATCCCCAGAAGTATGACGAATGGGTCTGGAAGCCCGTTTGCGCAGCCTTGATTAAAGTAAGTTGTTTGCTTCGCTGCCCGTGCTTCTGGACGGGTTGCGCCGTCTTAAGATCATTACGGCAGAGCTTTGCGCTCTTGGTGCCTTCAGGAGGAAGCAGGAGAAGGGAAATCTGATGAAGTTTCTAAAAACTTCGGGAGCGGCACATACGCATACCATGCTGTCGATGATGCTGGTGCACCGAACTGCACT